TGGTTATTGGTCATTAAATAGACAATGTGAATACAGTCTGCCTCTAATTACTACTCTTTCATTTATAAAGTATTGTTTAAATAAGAAATCTACCACAATGTTTGGCATCAAGCCATATCTGATTTATACTCATCTTTTCACCTAAGTCTGTCTATACTGTGGATGAAGTTAACATCTCATATTAAAAAAAAAAAAAAAACAATAAACGCTGTAGCTTCTGGCAGACAGTCACCTATCATTGTTCACTGTTACACATTTGCCACATTGTTGGCATACAGACCTGTTTAAAACCAAGAGAAAGTCACTAATCACCAGTCAACCACTTCGTATTAAAGGAGGAATGTCACTGTGTGGAGCCGAGCAGTGATCTGCTGGTCAAGTTCTCTAAAAATGTGAGATGTGGAAGAGGTGCCCTTAAAGAGAAGAACATAATACATTCTGATTAATGGGCGTTCTCGGTGTTTTCCATCTTTACCACAGAGACTGCAGAAAATATTAATAATAACCTCAGTGAGAATGTAAAATGGTCCTGTGACACAGTGATCTAAATGCAGGAGCCCAGCCTTCCAGAATGTCAGGGGGAGGGGGATGTTAATATTACACAGCATGACAGTGAAGATCCCCCCCAACCCCCACTATCCAGGGGTCCTCAATTGGCAGCCAGCAGTCAAAACTATTATTTCACACCTTAATTTGGCCCATGAACATCACAGATGGAGCGGAAATAGTAGGCAGGTTTAGTAAGATATTCACCTAGATATACTGGGCTTGCAGCTTCTTTTTAAACTTGAAAAGGTACGTCCAGAAAAATAACTCAGAACCTCAGAGGAAACTTGGAAGGCATATGAAATGCTTCCTATGAACCTCTACTGTTTGATTCGGTTTGCCAATTCGTAGGGTAGCTGTGGCTGCAGCTCCAAGGGTGATCGGCATAAATATTGTTGCAATAAACCCAAAAAAAGAAGGCAAATGGTCTGATGTCATCCTGGTTATTATGGAAAAGTCCAGCATTGCTTTCATTTCCTCAGCACTTTCTATGAATGGCATTTCCTTACCAGTTTCATTAAAGATGCCAGCTCTTCTGGAAACTGGGATGCCAGTTTAAGGGCAAGAGTCATTAAGGATGCCAGCTCTTCTGGAAACTGGGTTGCCAGTTTAAGGGCAGGAGTCATTAAGGATGCCTGGCCTTCCGGAAACTGGGTTGCCAGTTTAAGTAGTAGGCCCTTCATGGGGATATTTTTCAGCTTCTTAAGGAAAGCTATAAAGGCACTGATGGTCAGAGGTACAGCTGCCAATGAATTGTCTTTAGCCTGGCAGTGCTAGCATTGGTTGCTTATTGCACCGAAAGCCACTATTGATTCGTCGGAGAAGGGGATAGAGGTACACTGATTTGCCAACAGTGAGTTTTGTGAAGTGTTGATTAATGCCTATGTCCAGCCATGATACAGATGTGACCAATGTCCTTACTTGACCTGATCCAGGAATGCTACCACCTGGAATAATAATGAATTTCCCCTTGAACTGTTTCTGCTACTTAATCTCGTGATTTTTACAGAAATGGCGCCAGATTCAGTGTGATCTGCAGTGCATCTGTTTATAATCAAGTATTATGCTATTTTAAGAAAACAATATACAAGAAGTAGTTCTTCTGGAACCCTCTGAACAAGTGACACCAATGTCGCCAGTTGATGTGGCCCTGTGGTTCTCTTAGCAGAACCTCCTTCCCCAGAGCTGTAGATGTTCTGTTTCCCTGGTTAAAGGCAAATGCAGGTATTTCTCACGTCCAGCTCTGAGTAAGACGTCTCTGATGTGGCATTACCTCATTGGCTGATGCGGTTCTGGATAGTATATGCTAAGACATGGTGTTCTGTGATCTGGTAACTATCAACTGTGATGTCACAGTGAAAACTGTAAGCCCATGTGGATGTCCCTGTGGATGCCTTTGGATGAAATGCCATTTGGCATCTAAAATGGTTTGGAACCCAGGGGAATATCAGAGGTTGTCTAACTGAATGTTAAGCTTTAGCTACAGGCAGAATAGAAAATGTTTTGCTTTTACTTCTGCCTGCTTGTGTTGATTTTGGCCTCAGCTGTCAACACTTTGCATCAGAGATGGAAAAGATTGAATTATGGTAACAAACATCGTCTGTCCTTCATCCTCCAGGCCAGGAACTCTGCGCAGTGTGCGTTTTTTCTTTTTTTTTGCTGCTAGTTGTGGATTTTTGTTGCCTAGGGGGCACTGGAACAGAGGATGAAAGAAAAGTTGTTTTTTTTGAAGAGCCTATTAACTGGAGCTTCAAAGGAACTCTTGGTGCGAGTAGCAGAGTCAGCAGGTTGCCTCCTTGCCCCACATCCCAGAATCCCGCAGCAGTGGACTCAGCACCGCACGGTCATGCCAAGCGGCCACGCGGACATTGGGAAGCAATTACAGCAGGGAAGAGCCACGGCCCGCGGGCCACCTTTAATGTGCTGAATCTGTAGTGCTGCTGTAACTCTAGCCGCTGTCTGGCTCATGCCACTGCACGGGCCGCCTTCAATGGGCGCTTTGTGGACCTCTGGCCTGGCGTGTTTCCCGCAAGAACCTCACGGAAGCGTCCCTGTAGAGGGGCCGGCGTGCGGGACACCACCTGCGGATGGGGACTCGCTCCGGCACAGTTTCGCAGAATCTATTGTTTAAAAACACTCAGCAAATGTTAGATCTGCTGTTCAGGTGCCATTTGCAGGTCGGCCATTACTCAGTGACTCATATTTCAGTCTCTCAGGATGGACAGGTACAAACATAGCCGCGATAAAACGGCAGTGTGAAAATTACAGTGACTACAAAATCCATGTTAAAATCAAAGCAAAACACCCTCTTTCTCACTTTTAGTGTCAACATAGTTATTGTGTCGAGCCTTTTTAAAGCAGAGTAGATGAGTCTGTTTCAGCTTTACTATAATTGCACAAAAAAAAGCTTTTCATATGGGCAGCATGGTGGTGCAGTGGTTAGCACTGTCTCCTCACACCTCTGGGACCTGCCTGGGTTCCATGTATGTGGAGTTTGCATGTCCTCCTAACATCGTCGTGGGGTTTCCTCTGGGTACTCTGGTTTCTCCCCACAGTCCAAAAACATGCTGAGGCTAGTTAGAGTAGCTGAATTGCTTGTAGGTGTGAGTGAATGGTGTGTGAGTGAATGGTGTGTGAGTGAATGGTGTGTGAGTGAATGGTGTGTGAGTGTGCCCTGCGATGGGTTGGTGCCCCATCCTGGGTTGTTTCCTGCCTTGAGCCCATAGGATGGATCTTTTCATATGGGATGTTAAGAAGGGCTCTGTTGTAAACACTACAGTACATTTTCCATAAATGCCCATTTTATTGCCTCATACGTAAACAGTGAGGCAGAGAAACTGCACAGGCTCACCCTCCTTGGAGAATGGACTCGTAGATGATCAGTCGTTTGATACAGTTGTGTTTTCCTGTGCTTGCTAATGATCTCTTTGATACAATGCAAGAACTATTTAATCTGAGTCCACATATTGTAGTAGGCAGATAGCAGGAAGTTCTGTTAAACTTTTGTAAACCGCAAACACAAAAACACATATGCCAGTTGTTCATTTCTTTCCACGTGCAATTCTGTGAGACATCTGAGCTGCTATTTTTTCTACATATGTGGTAGTCTGTTGGCCTTGAGGTGCATGGGATGATTAGAGATTTTAGTTAGAGGAGCAGTGCATGGTGCTCTTTTTGACTTGCTCTGGTGCTGGAATAATGGGATGGATGAGAGCGAGAATGAGTCAGATATTTTTCCGATATCTCCGATGACCCACTACTAGGATGCATGTGTAGTACTGCATGCTATACAAGACACTCTCCACAGGCAAAGTATCCATCTTAACCTGCAAACGTTACTTGAGAGATCTCAGCAATGATGGTGCCTCATGAAAATCAGGCTCCCTGTGTAAAAGGTGGCGCAGGAAACCGTTAAATCCATTAAAATGAATGTCAATGGGAAATTAGACAGAGAAATGTGAATTATGGCTGAGTTTCACAGAAGCCAAAGAAAGAGAGAGGGAGAGATTTTCTGCTGCAGTGACAGGATGGCTGCGGGTTTGCATTCAGCACACGTCTTCCTGTTAGCTGATGGCACAGGAAGCCAGAGGCTTCTTGCAGACCGTTCTCAGTTGTTTATTTTGACAGCCAAGGGCAGTGTGCATTTGCCATTGATACACTCGTCCATGAGTCGCCTTGCTGGCTCATATGGTGTTCTAGAGGGTTCTTTGAGAAGGCATTAAGACTGCAAAACGCAAGCCAGTTCTCAGTGGCCGTCCACAAAAGCTGACCGGAAAGGAAGGAGGAAAGGGATCATTTATGGCCTGAAAGTGATGAGAGCTTCACATTCCTGCACTGATTCTGAAAGGCAGTCAGCGTGCAGTTAGAACTTTTGCTTCTGAGCATTAGGTCTCAGCAAGTTGTTGAAAAATGAACTTCATAGTATCAGGGTATAGAAATATGAATAGAAAAATGTCTTTAAGAGCAATATTTCAGTGAGCAATCAATCCAAAATGTGTTATGAATGTAAGTGTGTGTTTTTTTAAAGCCACGGTCCTTCAGTGGCTGGCATGTCGTTGTGTTGTGTGTCAGCTTTGAATATGGAGAGAACGCGTTATAGGTGTGCATGTTGACCAGAGAGCAAGCCCTTCATGCAACATGACTTCTGTCATTCAGGCTTCTACAATGGATCCAAATCTCTCCTACTGGGGTTTGCACGTTATGGCCTCATTCATTCTTCCTTCCAGTCACTAGGCTTTCCTCCCACAATGCAACGAGGTGCTGTGTGGGGCCGCTTGACAACCTTAAGTTATTTGTACGACACTGTGTGAATGTGGGTGTGACTTTATCTCACTGCCTGTGGTTTCCGTGACCGTCACCGAGTTCCTTGTTCTGCCACTGAGCCCCCAGTCAGATGGATGGCTGCTGAAAATGACCAGGTGGCTTTTCATGGTAGTCTGCATTCTGCTTGTCAGGTCTGAGAAGTGACAGAAGAATACGTGAGGAGCGACGATGCCTGTGCCTCCTCCACCGCCACCTCCAGCACCTCCCCCAACCTTTGCTGCGGTGAGACACTATCTCTTTCCCTGGTGACTGTTTGACCCTGAACCTACCTAAGGAAGTTGTGTTCCTCATTTGTCATTTTTCTTTCTCTTTGAAAACTATATGAAACCAATGGCAGCTGAGTCTGTCTGTGGAGTCTTCTTGGTTATTATTAATTTACTTTACTAATTTACTGGTATTGGTGATGCTTGCTTACATTTTGAAATCATTTATAAAGCTGAAAATTTTACAGGAGAAAGTCCAGTTTATAACTTCAGAAGCCGCATCTAGAACTAGGATTATCAGTCTCTAGGCCATGATGTGCTACCTGTGGTTCCATTATTTGTTCCATATGTACTTCACACACTATTGCTAAGTCAATAAAGATAAGAAGAACTTTATTGATCCCAGGGGGAAATTCTGGAGTAGAACTCCGGTGAAATTTTGAAATTATGCAATTCTAACGTAAAACACTATTGGGGCAAATGTTAAAACTGTTATCTGCCTATAACATAAAACCATTTTGTCAAGAGCATATATGTAGTGTTTCTATAGTGAATAACAGCTCTGTTGGCGATCTATAAAGTCTCCCTGTTTGTCAGAGCTTTGCAGCGACATCTGGTGGAATATTACAGCTACTAAACTTTCCTTAATATTAAACCAGGGCTTTTTATATCACGGTCATCAAGGTCAGAGCACTGCTGATTTTCCAGCCTTTCTTTACCTGTGAACCAGATGTAAAGCCTCTAACCAATCAGAATCAGTACTTATTAAACTAACTACCTGGGAGAACTGAAAACAAGACCTGGATTTGGAATCGAGGGCCAGACTGAAGAGCTCTGTATTAATCAGTTTCTTTCCTGGTGCTTTTAGGCAAATACAGAAAAACCATCACTCAACAAGTCTGAACAGCAGGGAAGAAATGCTCTTTTATCAGACATCAACAAAGGCGCTCGCTTGAAGAAGGCCATCACTAATGACCGGAGTGCTCCAGTATTTGACAGTGAGTAAACTCCTGCTGAGTGCATCTGCCTACTCGGGCAAATACTGAAGTTTCAGATCTACATATATAAAAAAACATCCTGTTTTACATTCTTCCATTGTTTTCGCCTGTTAGTTTAATGAAGTATATACACAGCTTGCAGTATAGTGTAGGATCCCTTACTGTGCTTTGCATTAAATATGATTAAATGTTGCATCTCTCTCTGATTTGAGATCTTCCATTAATATTTTATTATAGAGCCCAAAGGTGGAGCTGGAGGAATGGGAGGCGGGGGAGGTGGAGGAGGCGGAGGAGGAGGCGGAGGAGGTGGAGGATTTGGTGGGGCACCAGCAGGGGGGCTAGGAGGACTTTTCCAAGGAGGGATGCCAAAGCTCAGATCTGCTGGGAACAGAGACAGTAACGGTAATGTATTAATAATGTTCAATGTACTGACTTAAATAAAAAACAAAAGTAATAATGAATTACAATTCATTTATGAAATTATGTTCTGGTAATGTTACATATAAGGTAAGAACTTCTGGTGCATGATCTTAATAACCTGGTGTATGATATTAATGATCTTCTGGTGCAGGGGTGTCAAACTGCAGTCCTGGAGGGCCGGAGCCCTGTGTAGCTTAGTTATATTAGGACCTTCTGGTGTATGATATTAGTGAGCTTCTGTTGTATGATATTAGGACCTTCTGGTATATGGTATTAGTGACCTTCTGGTGTATGGTACTAGTGACCTTGTTTTGCTGTTTTGTCATAAGATGCCGTGTCTCCGAGGCCTCCTATGCCACCTGGCGGGGGAAGGTCTCCGGGAGCCAGGCCCCCAGGGGGCAGCACAGGCACCCCACCCCGGCTACCAGGTGCACCCCCAACCCACCGTGGCAGTGTCCCAGACCTGCCCAAGCCCCGACATGAGCCGGCTGGGCCTCCACCACCTGTTCCCAGTACCCCACGGCCGAACCAAGGAAGCAGCCAGAATCGAGGCCTCCCTCCTGTGCCTGCGGGGGGTCGATCACCAAGCACTGGCCCCATGCCCCCGCCGCCTGCCCTGCCTGGCCGACACTCGAGCGAGCCCCCCGCATCCAGCCGCCAACCACCTTTGCCTGCCCCCCCTGTGCCTGGCAGCGGACGGCCCTCCCTCCCTCCTGCCCCTAGCAGGGCTTCAGATGATCGTCCCCCCCCTGTGCCTATGGGAAGCAGGCAGCCTTTTTCCCGGGAAGGACCCCCACAGCCTCCCCCGCAGCCTCGTACACCCAACAGCAAGCCACAGGGCTCCCCTGCACCGCGGCCCCCTTCGAGCAGTGCCCCACCCCTGCCCCCAGGTCGACCTGGCCCCCCTCCTCCCACACCTCCCAGTGATGAACAAATTCCCAGGTTACCACAGCGAAACGTGTCCCTCAGTTCTCCTGCCCCCATCCCCACCACCCCTCCAGGCCGCAGTGGCCCTTTACCCCCACCCCCTAATGAGAGACCGCCCCCTCCTGGTAGAAACCCACCTGGGAGAACAGGTATGAATTATAATGTTAATCAATGCTTGAATAATAAATCCTGTTTCAGAGTTTCTTCTCCTTGCTGTTTTATTTTGCTATTTTGGGCTATTTTTAAGTGTTTTGCATAATATTTCTGCTTTATTTACCTAAGTGTTTATTACATACTTGGCATGAACTTTTCCAGTAGACACCAGTATCCTTGCTGATGGTGCTAAAAATATGTCCACAGGTCCTCTGCCTCCACCCCCACCCACAGGGAGGTCAGGCAGCAATGTACGGGCATCAGCCCCGCCCCCACCGAATCGACCAGGACCGGAGCCTCCAAGAGGAGGTCCCAGACCTCCACCCCCACCAGAGAGACCGGCCGTTGGGGGACCGCCACTTCCCCCTCCCCCCATTGGCAACGGTTACCAGAATTCCTACCAACACTCCACAGGTAGGTGTGCAGCTTGGGCAAACGTCCAGATGTGCCTGCTCAGAATTTTCCAGCTGCTTTTCCATCTGCAGGCGCATAGTGTCAAAATCACACTTAGCCCCGCTAATGCTGGGAAGGCACAAGATCCCTTTCTCTGGCACTGATTCAGGATGCAGTTAATGTTACCTGACTCCTTTCCAAAAGTTTCATCACCCCCTGGTGAACATTGGAAAGTATACATTACTGGCCAAAATTGTGGAAACAGCTAGCATTTTTGGCAATATGGCTTAAAAATTACTACACACATATTGGCAGTAATGTTTATAAACAATCAAAGAATGCTTACAAATATCATACACTGGACGATTAAATAAGTAACCGCAATAAAATTCTGCAATCTCTAAAAATTGAAAGTTTCCACAATTTTGGCCACTGGTATATTTCACAGAATAAGAACATTCTCAGATCAAGATTTCTTTTTTTAATTGAATGCAGAAAAGTAGTTGGAAGATGGATACATTTTATATCCATAAATTTTATATATATTTTCAATATAGCAACTAAAAGCATTTTTACGTTCTTGTTAAAAAACTGTCTGGTGGATTTCTGTCCATATCGCTGTACAAGGGGGTCTGTGAACATTGTGTGTGTTTTGCAGACGACTGGGAGGGCAGATTCACTTTTCACCCTGTGTCAGAGCTTCCCTCACCAGAGCCCTATATACCTTCCCAGAAGACCTACCCAAGCAGGATGGGGAAGGGTGAGAACAGAGGTGAGTCTTCTGCTGTGTTCCAGTTATCTCACAGTTCAGAAGTCAGAGCTGGGACTTAACTGCGTTCCAGTACAACAAGTCGGAAAGCTGTTTAACAATACCAGTACTAGCCAGGTTTATTGTTAGCCATTGTGAGCACTACCAGTTTATAACGCATTACACAGCATTTCGCGCATAAAAACACCGTAGCAACACGTTCACAGATCGCGGTTGGACAGTACTGAGTATACGGCCGATTTAATGAGACACAAATCAGACATAGGTGCTAATAAACAGTATTTATCTACAGCTTCCACTTCTGCTGATTAAGGGTGCAGCCATCTAGTATTCTGAAGTCGGGTTTGTAGATGTTCCTCCAACTTTCCCAGTCAGATTTTGGGGGCGTTCCAGTTGAAATTTCCAACTAGGAACTTGGAAATTCTGACTTCTGAGTTGGAATGGAATGTAGCATCAGTGCTTCTTCCTTATGCTGAATCCTTGTTCAGTCCTTCTCTCCAGAAGTCTCACACTTTCCATCCTTTCAGGTTCTGGAAAAAAGGAAAGAGGTGCACCCCCGTTGCCCCCCATTCCTCGGTGAAGAGTTCAGCAGCCCCACATCCTGCCACTCAGTCCTCCAGCCCCCCACCTGCTGCTCGCAGTACACCCAGTTACCCAAACCTGCCTCCTCTTTTCTCCTGTGCATATTTTACTTACTGAGTCTTTTTACATCTGACAGCATTGGAAGTAATTGATATTTCTAAGATGGAAGTAATTGATATTTCTAAGCTGGAAGTAATTGGTATTTCTAAGCTGTTTCCATATGGGCTCATTTTTCTAATTTAATTTTAACTTTTTGTAGATTATTTACCATTTGACATTATACAGGAACAATTTTATATAAAAAGTTAATGTCACCCTGCAGGGCCAAAAGAATTGCACATACACACCCATGCTATTTGTCTTCAACTATTGTATATCTAATGTTTTATATCAGAATATTCACTAGTGTTTCTCAAAGCAAGCCAGTGCAAGCAATGCTAGTTTTTAAACTTCATTGTTATTAGGAAATCCTAATGCTTTTATTTTTTATAAAGAACAGGTGTCTCCCTGGTGGAGAGACTCAAAATAGATTAGAGAAAATGTTCAACAGGGGCGTATAACAGATGAATTTCAATATGGTGTTATTCTGCTTTGTATGAGTAAAAAAGAAGGATTTACATTTAATAATTAAATTACATTAAATAGCCAGTGTCATGTGTTTTGTGTGGTTAATTAGGTTTCTAAAAGAATAATAATAAATCTGTTGAGTTGACAGTATTCCTATAATTTAAATCTGTTTATAACAGAACTGTAAAGAAAATGTATCTATCAATTCTCTTGTTAAAAGTTAAATGTATAATTAACAAACAATGTTTCACTCTAAGTGTGATACTGAGTGTGACTATAAATGATTTTCTAATGTTTATGTTATTTGGTTATTCAGCTGTGAAACAAGTACTGCCTGATGCTTGATGGAATTTTGGGCATTTTATCAAGATATCTGGATTAATCTATATCCCGCAGTTATTCTCATAATGTCAAGTAATTATGGTATTTTTGCAGATAATGCAAAATAATGTGACAATGGTACTGATAAGAACATAAGAACATAAGAACTATACAAACGAGAGGAGGCCATTCGGCCCATCGAGCTCGCTCGGGGAGAACTTAACTAATAGCTCAGAGTTGTTAAAATCTTATCTAGCTCTGATTTAAAGGAACCCAAGGATTCAGCTTGCACTACGTTA